GCAGCCGCGGGGCCCCGAGCAGGGGTGCAGCGATCGGGGCTCTGGGGGACCGGGGCGGGGGTGCAGCGATCGGGGGCCCTGGGCGGGGATGCAGTGATCAGGGGTCCGGGGGCCTTGGGCGGGGGTGCAGTGATCAGGGGTCCGGGGGCCCGGGTAGGGGGTGCAGCTGTCGGGGGCCCGGGGGCCTGGGGCAGAGGTGCAGCGATTGGGAAATCAGGGGCCTGGGGCGGGGGTGCAGCGATCGAGGAATGGGGGGGGCCCGGGGCGGGGTGGAGCGGTCGGGGGTCCTGGAGCCCGGAGCGGGAGTGCAGCGATAGGGGGATGGGGCCCGGGGCGTGGGTGCAGCGATCGAGGGCCCGGGGTTTAGTGCTCTGGGGATCGAGGCCTGGGGCGGGGGTACAGCGCTCGGGTGATCGAGGCCCGGGGCACGAGTGCAACGCTCGGAGGCCCAGGCAGGGGTGCATCGCTTGGGGCCCGGGGGCGGGGATGCAGCGCTCGGGGGCCTGGGGTGGGGTTGCAGCGCTCAGAGGCCCAGGCGGGGGGGTGCAGAGATCGGGCCCGGGGCGAAGGTGCAGCGCGGGGGGTGGGGCTCGGGACGAGGGTGCAGCGCTAGGAGGCGTCTGGAGCTAGGAGGCGTCTGGAGCGCGGGAACGGCAACACGGGGTCCGCAGGGGCGGCCGCTGGAAGGGGCCGCAGTGGCGCTCCTGGAGCCCGGGACCCTGGCCTGCTGCACGTGAGGCCGAGGCTGGAGCTGGAGGCAACCGGGCTGGTACCTCCTGGGCAGCGGGACGCCCCTGGCCTTGTGCGCCCTGGGCTCTGCGCGCCAAGAAGCGCACGTCGGGATCAGAGCGCGCCCCTGGGCTGCTGCTTTCTCCCAGTCTCAGCAGATTCCTCTTCCTTTCTCTTCTCCTCATTTCTTCTTGCATCCCCAAATGTACCGCTTTTTGGTTTATCACCCGCCCAGCCTGCGGTAGGGCACCTCCGACCTCCAGGCGCCTTTCTCAGAGGTAACCAGGTCCTTATGTCTTGGATAAATAATTTATTTGCCTTCCCCCCCACCCCAGTGTAATTTTGCTTTCTGAGTACAAAGTCCGTAAAAATGTCACTTTACCTTCTAAAGTCAGTTATATCAAAAAATAGCACATAACAGTGTTTACGCCCTGGTTATACCTGCTTCTGGACTTTCCATACACAGGTACTGCCCTGTGCATTCTGTGCATTCCTTTGTGTCTGGCTTCTTCCTCTCAGGATGCTGTTAAGTTGCGCCCTTTCTTTTATGGCTGTTCCGTCTCAAGACGTGCAGTCTTCAGCACACTTCATCAGTTGGTCCGTTGACAGGTGTTTTGGGTGGCTTCTAGTTTTGCGCTATTAATAATAATGCTCCATTGGATATTCTTGGGTGTCTCACACATTCTTTTCAATTGTGTATAGATTAGCAAGGGAATTTCTAGGTCAAAAGTTGGTAAATAAATGCAGAGCTTCCACTTGGGTCAGTAGGAAATTTCCAGAGCACTTGTGCCAGTGCACGTTACAGCTTATGTGAAAGTGCCTGTTGCTCCACAACTTTATCAGCACTTGGTGCTACCAGTCTTTTTCCTTCCCACCACTCTAGTGCTGGTGAGGTGGTAGCAAGGTGTGAAGTGGCCCCCCGGTTATGCATTAGTAGGTTCCTAACCAGGGGCCCAGTTGGTTAGAGGCAAGGATGGTGAAATTTGGATGGAGTTGTCAGGAAGGACCAGGCCTTGGGAAAAGAAAATCATGCTGAGAAGGAGAGAGGGCCGGAGAAAGAGAGGAAGACTCTCAACAAGGTGGATTAATGCAGCGATTTCAACAGCAGGCTTGTGCGTGGCAGGGATCATCAGGATAGTGCAGGGCAGGCCAAGGTGCAGAGCTGTCATTCATGAGTTCTCATAGGTGACAGTTGACACAACAGCTTTGCCTAATGGAGGAAAAGTCTTTTCCTATTTTATCTGGTGTCTTCTTTGATGGAGGCGATGCCAGGGTTCCCCTGGAGGTTGCATGCCCTCAGGAAGAGAGCTTCCTATCACATCTTCCAGAAAACTTACAACTTTGTCACATTAAGATCCTCAACCGACTTGGAATGGACTTTTGTGTAAGGTATTCACAGAAGATCAAAGCTCCCGAAACAGCAGGGGCCTATTGCTATCGAGTAGATTCCGGTTGATGAGGACCCTTCACCTGGTGACTCTTTACAGGAGATTGTCCATCTCCTAAGGGACAGCTGATGGATTCGATATCCGCTGACCTGTCAGTCAGCAGTGAGACATGGAATGTGTACATTGGAGAACTCCAATCCCAGAGGCAGATGGTTCAAATCCACCAGCTGCTCTGTAAGAGAAAGATGGGCAGTCTATTCCTGTGTGATTTACAGCCTCTGAAAACCCACTGGAGGGTTGGCTATGGGTTGGTTTTGTTTTGGGGTGTTTATTTTATTATTTTGTGAGTGTGTACTGCTAAATCAAATCTGACTGGTACAGGAGGAGATTGCCTCTCCTTCTTCAGCAGAGTGAGTGGATTCAAACCATGTACCTCTGGGATTGCAGTGCAGCTTCTTTCCACTAGGCTACCAGAGCTCCCTTATGGGTTGGTTCTGACTCAAAGGTAACTAACAACAGCAACATGTACGCCAAGACCATTTCTTGAAAAGTGCTCATTTCCCCATAGCTCTGCAGTCCCACACCTACCACTTCTGACCATCCATCCGGAGATTGTTTTCTGTCTCCCCAAAGAATGCTCAGTCCTCTGGAGAGCCTTCAGGTCAGGTTTGCACACGGCACACGCTGGTGGTGTTCACCTCGGAAGATGTTGTTATTTCTTCTTTGTGTTTCTTAAGAACAATTTTATTGAAATAGTCTCACATAACGTAAAACCTGACTATGTAAAGTATAATATTCAGTGGTTTTTATTGTGTTCATATAGAGTTGTACAGTTACTACTAGAAATCTTATTTTATAATGGTGTTAGCCACTTTAAAAGTGTCTTTTACTTAGTTATAGAATTCTTGGTTTGCATTTTTTATTTTAGGGTATTTAACTATCTAAATTATAATTGTTGTTGTTGGCCGCTGAGTCACAACTAACCCATAGTTGACTAACCATAGCCTTGGGGATTGCAGCACAACTTTTTGCCTCTAGGCCACCAGGGGTAAAATGTCATTAGATGCTTTAAAGCGATCTCATTGCTGGACTACAGCTCAATATCAAGAAAACCAAGGTCCTTACCACTGGACCAAGAAGCAACACTGTAATAGAAGGAGAAAGGATTGAGACTGTCAGTGATTTCGTCTTACTTGGATCCACAGTCAATACCCTTGATACCAACGGTCAGGAGAAACATTGCTTGAGCAAGTCTGCTATCAGGGACCTTGCAAAAATACTGAATAAAAACAGTGTCAGTTTGAGGATGCGTGTGCACCTGACTTAGGCTGCAGTCTTTCCGATCACTTGCCATGCGCCTGAGAGCTGGCCCGTGACGAGATGACAGAAGAAGAGTTGATGCCGTTGAGCTGTGGTGTTGGAGAAGAGCACTGAACATCCCGTGACAGCCAAGAGAACAGACAGACACGTCTCAGCAAACGGGCAGCCGCGTGCTCCTTAGAGGCAAGCATGAGGCTTCATCTCACATACTCTGGGCATGTTGCTCAGAGAGGCCATTCCTTGGAGAAGGACCTCAGGCTTTGAAAGGTGGAGGGTCAGCAAAGGAGAGAGGAGATCCTCAGAAGGTCGATTGACACAGTGACCGCAGCAGTGGGCTCAGGAATGATGAGGACGGCGAAGGGTAGGACAGGGTTCAAGTCTCTTCATAGGGTCTCTGTGGGTTGTACTCAATGGCACCTAACAACAGTAGTGTTTTCTGCCTTTGATTGTTTCTGTTGAAGTCTTTTGACAGTCTTTTCTAAAAGCTCTGGTGGCCTAGTGGCAAGAAGTTGCGCTGCAATCCAGAAGGCATGCGGTTCGAGGCCACCAGCTGCTCCTTGGGAGAAGGATAGGCAGTCTCCTCCTATGTGATTAACTGCCTCTGAGAACCCCGTGGAGGGTAAGCTGTGGGCTGGTTTTGACTCTACAGTACACAGCAACACCTGTTTCCCCCACCCCGTCGCTACCTTAGTGGTGATGCCTCCTTTGTCTGGTTCTGTGCTCTCTCTGGCATGTCTTTTCTTGTTTGGGTTCTTGGGCTTCTTGAATCTGTGGCTTCATACCTTTCATTAGTTCTGGAGGCCCTCTGCGTTAGCTGTGATCCCTCCTCACTCGTCCTGCTAGGACTTCGTTTATATGTTAGGTCTTCATAGGGAATCTTACCCTAACCCTAACCCTAACCCTAACCCTAACCCTAACCCTAACCCTTACCTTTTGTCCTTTCTATCCTTTTATCCTTCTCTGTTTATTCCACATATCTCTGACCCATTTCTCTTCTAGTTAACTAATCTGTCTGCTGTGTTCAACATGGTTTTAACCTTGTTGTTCTTATGGGTCATTGAGTCACCTGCGACCTGTAGCGACCCTGTGTACAGCCATCCTGCTCAGGTCTGAGCCAGTCTCACTGGCTCTGCACACCTACCCCCATTGTCCCAGATACTCTATAACTCCATCTCATCTGAGGTCTCCCTCTCCTCTGCTGTCTCTCCACCCTTCTCTAAGGACTGGTCCTTCCTGTCTACATGCCCAGAGTATGTGAGATGGAGCTTCAAAATCCTAATCTCCAAGGAGAAACTTGGTTTCACCCTCTCCAAGACAGATTTGTGTTTTTTTGTTTGTCTTTTTGTGTGTGTGTGTGTGTGGGGGGTCCATGGTATGTTCAAGACATTTCTCTACCACTACAACTCAAAGACATTGATTCTCCTTCTGTCATCCCTAGTCAGGGTCCAGCTCTCTGATGCATAGCACGTAATTGCTAAGACCATGGCATGTATCAGGTGCACCTTAGTCTCTACACTGGCATCGTTGCTTCTCAGTACTCTGGAGAGGTCCCTGACATCAGATTTACCTAATGCAATTAGTTTTTTGAATTCCTGAATGCTGGTGCCAAGAATGAGTTTTTAATTTCAAGTATTGCTTGTGTCTTGACATTTTTTTTACTCCCATGTATGGGAATCTTGGTGGTGTAGTAGGTTGTATGTTGCACTGCTAATCAGAAGATTGGTGGTTTCAATCCAGCCTCTTCTCCAAGGGAGTAAGATGAGGGAGTCTGGTCCCATTCGGTTTTACTTGCATTTAAGCCATAGAAACCCAGTGGAGGGCCATCATGTTTGTTTAATTCTCATTGGCTCTTTTCTGGTGTTTCCAGTTATCTGGACAGATTATCGATCTTGTCTTTTGTCTCCTTGAACACGGGCAACGTAATGATTTTGAAGTCTGCTAACAGCAGTGTCTCTGAGTCACATCTGTGAAACGCTAAAAGGTGTTTGTTTGGAAGAGTCTGTTTCTCTTGGTTCTTTGTGTTGTCTTCCTACTCATGTGCCTGGTTGTGAGTGTGTGTGTGTGTGTGTGTGTGTGCATGTGTATGTGTATGTGCGTGTGTGTGTGTTGGCATCATGTTTGCAAAATTGTGGACACAGTTTGAGACGTAAGATAATTCTTTCTGTTCCAGAGATAATTTTCATTTGCTTCTGCCAGGCAAATGGGGCCATTGACATCTGAGATCCTGTCAGTCCAGTCTCGGGGAGTTATTGAAATGTTTTCAAGATGAACTGCCGTCCTTGTGAGGAGGTGTTTAGGTCGTAGACATCCCTAGCCTTCTGCTTTTTGCAAGCACCTTCTAATGGGAAGTAACCCTAACCACAGA